CCGAACTGGACGGTACCCTGGCTGCGTTGGCTGACTTACGGTCTAGGCTGTCTTGGTGAGGTAATTAAAGGAGCAGTTTACTGTGTGTCCCCCTCCTGTAATTCCACTCACCTGGACAGTCTCTACCGTAAGCCCGCTAAACAAGGCCTCGTTCTCATCTGGCTAGATCACGGAGGGTGGCTGAGCTGACTCGGGATACATAACCTGGGGAAGGCTGAGACTGGAAAATAACCTAAGGGAAGTGAGGAAGGGGAGACATCCGGGGGCCCACGGATGGATTCCTGGACAATGGAACCTGGGAAAGGCGAGGATCCCTGGGGAAGTGGGGAAAGGGGAGAGTATCTGAGGCGGACAGATGGACTCCTGGACACAGGACCTGGGAAAGAAGATGATACGGGTTTTGCTGAGGCAGACCTTGGAAAGTGGGGAAAGGGAGAACATCTGAGGGGACACAGTTTGATTCCTGGACACATGGACCTGGGAAAGAAGGAGATACTGGTTGCTCATGCAGACCTTGAGAAAGTGGGGAAGGGAGAATATCTGAGGCGGACAGATGGACTCCTGGACACATGGACCTGGGAAAGAAGAAGATACTGGTTGCTAAGGTAGACATTGGGAAAGTGGGGAAGGGAGAATATCTGAGGCGGGCAGATGGACCTTGGTAAGAAGGAGATACTGGTTGCTTAGGCAGACCTTGGGAAAGTGGGGAAGGGAGAATATCTGAGGGGACACAGATGGACTCCTGGACACATGGACCTGGGAAAGAAGGAGATACTGGTTGCTGAGGCAGACCTTGGGAAAGTGGGGAAGGAAGAACATCTGAGGGGACACAGATGGACTCCTGGACACATGGACCTGCGAAAGGAGATACTGGTTGCTCAGGCAGACCTTGGGAAAGTGGGGAAGGGAGAACATCTGTGGGAACACAGATGGACTCCTGGACACATGGACCTGGGAAAGGAGGAGATACTGGTTGCTTAAACAGACCTTGGGAAAGTGGGGAAGGGAGAATATCTGAGGGGACACAGATTGACTCCTGGACACATGGACCTGGGAAAGAAGGAGATACTGGTTGCTGAGGCAGACCTTGGGAAAGTGGGGATGGGAGAACATCTGAGGGGACAGAGATGGACTCCTGGACACATGGACCTGGGAAAGGAGATACTGGTTGCTCAGGCAGACCTTTGGGGAAAGTGGGGAAGGGAGAACATCTGAGGGACACAGATGGACTCCTGGACACATGGACCTGGAAAGGAGGAGATACTGGTTGTTTAACAGACCTTGGGAAAGTGGGGAAGGGAGAATATCTGAGGGGACACAGATTAACTCCTGGACACATGGACCTGGGAAAGAAGGAGATACTGGTTGCTGAGGCAGACCTTGGGAAAGTGGGGATGGGAGAACATCTGAGGGGACAGAGATGGACTCCTGGACACATGGACCTGGGAAAGAAGGAGATACTGGTTGTTAGGCGGGACCTTGGGAAAATGGGGAAGGGAGAATATCTGAGGGGACACAGTTTGACTCCTGGACACATGGACTTGGGAAGAAGGATTTACTGGTTGCTGAGGCAGACCTTGGGAAAGTGGGGAAGGGAGGAAATATCTGGGGGGACACAGATGGACTCCTGGACACATGGACCTGGGAAAGGGGGATACGGGTTGCTGAGGCAGACCTTGGGAAAGTGGGAAGGGAGAATATCTGGGGGGGAACACAGATGGACTCATGGACACATGGATTGGGAAAGGAGAAGATACTGGTTGCTTAGGCAGACCTTGGGAAAGTGGGGAAGGGAGAATATCTGAGGGATCAGATGGACTCCTGGACACATAGACCTGAGGAAAGCATAAAAAACACGTAAGTGGATAGGGGGGAACCAAAAACGAATATTCATATTGATATAGTGGTGTTTGTTTAGATTGACCTCTAGCTTCTGGACTTCTTAAAGGTATTGAAGTACAATTCCTGGAGATCACAAACCATCATGACAGTTCCTCGTCTGACTGATCTTAAATGATTTTTAAAGGTAAAAGGTCGGGAATTCCTGCCTGCAATGAAAATTAAAACCAAGCAGCGAGCAAAAAAAAAGTGAAAGGAGGTGCCCGGGGGAGTGCTGTCAGAAATTATTGGAGGAAATAAAAAATTTAGTATTATTAACGTTACTTTAGCATGGAAAATAAATACATGGCGTAAACTGTCCCCCTGTCCCACTTTCCCAAAGAACTTATTATATATTTTACGTTAGGTACAAATGAACTATAACCATTAGGATGAGTGACATTGGTAAGTCGTAAGAGATAAATATCGGTAGGAAAGAGGAAGATTATTTCCCAGTAAAAATAGGCCTTAGACAAGGATGTGTGATGTCACCGTGGTTGTTTAATATATTTATAGATGGGGTTGTAAGACAAGTGAATGCGAGGGTCTTGACAAGATGTGTGTAGTTAAAAGATAAAGAATCAAGCACAAAGTGGGAGTTGTCACATTTGCTCTTTGCTGATGACACTGTGCTTTTAGGAGATTCTGAAGAGAAGTTGCAGAGGTTGGTGGATGAATTTGGTAGGGTATGTAAAAGAAGAAAATTAAAAGTGAATATAGGAAAGAGTACGGTTATGAGGATAACAAAAAGATTAGGTGACGATAGATTGGATATCAGATTGGAGGGAGAGAGTATGGAGGAGGTGAATGTATTCAGATATTTAGGAGTGGACGTGTCAGCAGATGGGTCTATGAAGGATGAGGTGAATCATAGAATTGATGAGGGGAAAAGGGTGAGCGGTGCACTTAGGAGTCTGTGGAGACAAAGAACTTTGTCCATGAAAGCAAAAAGAGGAATGTATGAGGTATAGTTGTACCAACACTCTTGTATGGGTCTGTGGAATGTGTGATGAATGTTACAACGAGGAGGATGCTGGAGGCAGTGGAGATGTCATGTCTGAGGACAATGTGTGGTGTGAATATAATGCAGAGAATTCGTAGTCTGGAAATTAGGAGAAGGTGTGGGATTACCAAAACTATTATCCAGAGGGATGAGAAGGGGTTGAGGTGGTTCGGACATGTAGATAGAATGGAACAATTCAGAATGACTTCGAGAGTGTATAAATCTGTGGTGGAGGGAAGGCGGGGTAAGGGTCGGCCTAGGAAGGGTTGGAGGGAGGGGGTAAAGGAGGTTTTGTGTGCGGGGGACTTGGACTTCAAGCATGCTGGCATGCGTGAGAGCAATAATGCAAGTGTGGGAGACAGAAGATACCTGCCAGGAGAGACAGTAATGCCAGAGTGGGAGACACAATATACCTGCCAGGGGAGACAGTTATGCCAGTGTGGGAGACACTGTTGTGTAAGGTGTTGTGGGGAAGTTTGAAGTGCTTGCAGTAACTAGCAGTGTTGAACCTTTACTTCACTTTAACAAAACAGCAAGCACGGCAACACAGCAAGCATATCAACACAGAAAGCACGTCAACACAGCAAGACGTCAACACAGCAAGCACGTCAACACAGCACGTCAACACAGCAAGCACGTCAACATAGCAAGTACGTCAACACAGAAAGCACGTTAGCACAGAAAGCACGTCAACACAGCAAGCACGTCAGCACAGCAAGCACGTCAACACAACAAGCACGTCAACACAGCAAGCACGTCAACACAGCAAGCACGTCAACACAGCATGCACGTCAACACAGCAAGCACGTCACCGTGAAAGAACAACAAAGTATTGCACAAAAACGGAGCAACAACAAGCAACAACAGCTGAACAACTTACAAGTACAGTAATGTGGCATGCAAAGAGTACGTAACCTTTATTCGGCGCATGTACACTCCCTCATTTTAAGGCTATCTCCCCCAACCAGCGAACCAGGTACTAAGGGTTGATGATGGGGCCCCGTCGTTCAACCAGTACCCAGGTTCCAGCCAATGAGAAGATGGTTTTGGCAATCGCAGAGGTGTTGTGGGTACCACTCGCCTGTCTGCCCTTGTCATTCCCACTCTAGAGCTGGTTGAAGCACGGTCTGCTCTCTAGTGGCTTCTATTCTGCCTTGCTTACCGTGGAGTGCACTAATACCTAGTGTTGTACATAGTGTATATAGTGTATATACTTCTGTTCTAAAATGATGAAGAATAATGCAAGTCAAAAGTTTTTCTGCTGTGTTTATTTTGCTTCCTTTACGCCCGGGATAACAGGCCTTTGGGACTCCTGGGTTGTAATAAATAACATAAAAGAAAAGTACAGTAACTTTCAATAACAGCATACTAACATTTGCCGGATAAAGGCAAGTGAAAGTTTGTGTGTGCAATAATTTCGCAGAAATCATTCTGAACCTAAAGGAAAAAAATGTATTTCATTGTGTTTGTTTATTATTAAATTGTAAACTTAAAGGTTAGATAAGTTTTCTAAGGCTCCTTTGAACATTTTAAATCAGGTCTTGTTAACTGACCAGTTTTACCCATTCGGATATTGGGATATTGGCAGTTTAGAGGGATATCATATATTACTTCACATATGCTTCTAAACTGTTGTATCTGAGCGCCTCTGCAAAGACAGTGATTATGTGTGAGTGAGGTGAAAGTGTTGAATGATGAAAGTATTTTTTGTGGGGGGATTTTTTCAGATTATGATAACGTGGGTGGCACCAGCGAGATGCCACCATGGCTACTGTCAGGGAGGCTGAAGTCAGAATAACACCTTCGATGCTACTGTCAGGGAGGCTGAAGTCAGAATAACACCTTCGATGCAACTGTCAGGGAGGCTGAAGTCAGAATAACACCTTCGATGCTACTGTCATGGAGTCTGGTTGACGCTTTTGAATCCAAATTACCAAGTCATGAATTTAAAATAACAAATAATAATAATAAATTATAATATAATATATTATAGTATATTATAATTAAAATTATATACAATATATTTGCGACCACTGTCAGCCTCAGAGTTATCTCTGAGTTACCAGACCTTGCCACGTGGAGGCCAGTGGTTCGTCTTTAAGGTCCCCCCTCCCCCCCCTCGCCTTTCCCAGGTTCATGTGTCCAGGAATCCATCCGTGGGCCCCCGGATGTCTCCCCTTCCTCACTTCCCTAAGGTCAGCCTCGCCTCTCTTTCTCTCTCTGCCTTCCAGCCTCAGCCTTCCCCAGGTTCATGTATCCAGGAATCCATCCGTCCTCCTCCGAATGTTTTCCCTTCCTCACTTACCTAAGGTCAGCCTCACCAACCTGTATTCTTGCTGTCCCCAGGTTCATGTATCCAGGAATCCATCCGTTCGCTCCCGGATGTCTCCCCTTCCCCACTTACCCAAGGTCAGCCTCAACTGCATGTATTCATGCCTTACCCAGGTTCATGTATCCAGGAATTCAGCCGTCTACCGCCGGATATCTTCCCTTCCCCACTTACCCAAGGTCAGCCTCAACCGCATGTATTCATGCCTTACCCAGGTTCATGTATCCAGGAATCCATCCGCTCGCTCCCGGATGTCTCCCCTTCCCCACTTACCTAAGATCAGCCTCAACAACAACCTTCCTCAAGTTCATGTATCCCGGAATCCATCCGCTCGCTCCCAGATGACTTCCATTACCCACTTGCCTAAGGTCGGCGGTTCCTTCCACGGATCAGTGTCTCCAGGAGTCCACTTATGTCACCTCAGATGGACTCCCTTCCCCACTTCCCCAAAGTCGGCGGTATTCTTGCCGTACCCAGGATCATGTATCCAGGAATCCTTCCGTCTACCGCCGGATATCTTCCCTTCCCCACTTACCCAAGGTCAGCCTCAACTGCATGTATTCATGCCTTACCCAGGTTCATGTATCCAGGAATCCATCCGCTCGCTCCCGGATGTCTCCCCTTCCCCACTTACCTAAGATCAGCCTCAACAACAACCTTCCTCAAGTTCATGTATCCAGGAATCCATCCGCTCGCTCCCAGATGTCTTCCCTTACCCACTTGCCTAAGGTCGGCGGTGCCTTCCCTGGATCAGTGTCTCCAGGAGTCCACTTGTGTCACCGATGGACTCCCTTCCCCACTTCCTAGAGTCAGCAGTGCCTTCCCCGGATCAGTGTCTCCAGGAGTCCAAATTGTGTCACCTGAGTGGATCCTCCCCACTTCCCCCAAAGGGCAGCGGTATTCTTTTCCGTCCGCAGGATCATGTATCCCGGAATCCCTTTCCCTCTACCCCCGGATATCTTCCCTTCTCCCCTTACCCCAAAGGGCAGCCTCAACTGCATGTATTCTTGCCTTGCTCAGGTTCATGTATCCAGGAATCCATCCGCTCGCTCCGGATGTCTCCCCTCCCCACTTACCCAAGGTCAGCCTCAACAACAACCTTCCTCAAGTTCATGTATCCAGGAATCCATCCGCTCGCTCCGGATGTCTTCCCTTCCCCATTTCCCTAAGGTCGGCGGTGCCTTCCCCGGATCAGTGTCTCCAGGAGTCCACTTGTGTCACCTGAGTGGACTCCCTTCCCCACTTCCCCAGAGTCAGCGGTGCCTTCCCCGGATCAGTGTCTCCAGGAGTCCACTAGTGTCACCTCAGGTGGACTCCCTTCCACACTTCCCCAGAGTCAGCGGTTGCCACCTTCAGTGACCTCGCTGCATGGAAACTTGGTCTTGTCTAGCTGGTCTACGGTAGAGACTGTCCAGGTGGGTGGAATTACTGGAGGTGACACACACAGAAAACTGCGTCCAGTAATTACTCCCACCAAGACAGCCGCGACCGTAGGTCAGCTAGACGCCACCAAGCGGCCTCACAGTTCCGCCACCTCGGAGAGGCTAATTAACGTAAATTTTGGAAATCCTTTTATGTTACACTATGAAAATATACGAAGAACAAGTTTTTTTTACTTATTTAGCTGTTTAAAAGTATTTGTGTTTTATTATTGCAGATGAATACCGAAATGTTGGTTAATTTGACCACCTCCATGATAACTGTGTGTCATGTGTACATGTTATTATGTACACATTAAATACACGTGTTGTGTATGTGTGCCATGTGTACATGTGTGTTGATTGTCATGTGTACATGTTGTATGTTGATTGTCATGTGTACATGTTGTGTGTTGATGATTGTCATGTGTACATGTGTGTTGATTGTCATGAGTACATGTGTGTTGATGATTGTCATGTGTACATGTGTGTTGATTGTCATGTGTACATGTTATTATGTATGAATGTTTATAACGTGTATGAATGTCGGGTGTACATGTTATTGTGTATGTGTAAGTGTCAAGTGAGAATCTCTAAATCTCCTCCATGAAAACTGAAACAAATTTAAAAAAACTTCTGTTTTTCGTGTTTCATAAATGAATTTGAAGGTCGCAAATGTTTGTATATATACATACATGTACGCACATGTAAAATGTGTGTACAGAGTTTTTACACAGTATATTAATAAAGTTCTGGTCTACATGATGGCTTGCCTTGTGTGTGTACATATATATATATATATATATATATATTTATATATATATAATTATATATATTATATATATTATTTATATATATATTATTATATATATATATATATTATATACATATATATTATATATAAATATATATATATATATATATATATATATATATATATACATATATACATATATATATTTTTATATATATATATATATATTTATATATATATATATATATATATATATATATATATATATATATATTGTCTTTTGAGCAAAGTACAGTGACATCACACGTCTTTAACATCACAGGCGACATCACACAACGTTATCTAAGAAATCATTTTTTGGGGTGCAAAATTTACCATCTTTCTTGCATATTGTAAAATTAATTCAACACTTTTGCTATCCCAAAACTCTACTCTGTTAACATCTCTTAATATATCTTTTCCACAAGTATAAATACAGCCAAGTGCAACTTTGCTTTATATAAGTGTTGTTAAGTTCAGTATTTCAGTGTTTACACATGATCCACAGATTACCTTCACTTTCTCAACTGTCACTCTTCTGTGTTATCAATATTATCTTTATCATCACTTCAGTAATCATAATTCTGACATAAACTTTACCTGGTATTGTCAGCAGTCTCCAGGCTGACAGCGGAGTCAGTACAAACACAGTACAAACCAACACATTATATACATACATGTGTACACATACACATCACTACAAACACAGTACTACCATCACACTTATATACATACATGTGTACACATACACATCACTACAAGCACAGTACTACCAACACATATTTACATACATGTGTACACATGCACTTCACTACAAACACAGTACTACCAACACACATATATACATACATGTGTACACATACACATCACTACAAAACAGACTACCAACAAATATTTCATACAGTGTACACATCACTTCACTACAAACACAGTTTCTACAACACACATATTTTAATACAGTGTACACATACACATCACTACAAAACACAGTACTTTCCAACACACATATATACATACATGTGTACACATACACTTCACTACAAACACAGTACTACCAACACATATTTACATACATGTGTACACATACACATCACTACAAACACACTACTACCAACACACATGTATACATGTGTACACATACACACCACTACAAACACACTACTACCAACACACATATTTACATACATGTGTATACATATACATCTCTTCAAAACACACTACTACCAACACACATATATACATACATGTGTACACATACACATCACTACAAACACACTACTACCAACACACATATATACATACATGTGTACACATACACATCACTACAAACACACTACTACCAACACACATATATACATACATGTGTACACATATACATTACAAACACACTACTACCAACACACACATATACATACATGTGTACATATACATCACTACAAACACACTACTATCAACACACATACATACATGTGTACACACATACATCGCTACAAACACACTACTAGCAACACACATATATACATGTGTACACGTTATCACAGACATATCTACACTCTCTCTCACCATTGTTTAAGTTAATTTAATATTGTATAAATTGTGTAAGAGAATTTAGAAAATTTTTGTTTATATATGTAATGAGGGTTATAATATTTTGATGAAATAATATGGAAAAAGATGTAAATATGTGAAGAAGTGACTAACTTGAGAGACTTGTGGTTAAGATAAAGAAGATATTCTTATATAACACTTTGTTTAAGAAGAATTAATTATTAAATAACTCTCTCAGTTCTCATACAAACACTTCTCTCACTTCTTCATTAATAACATAAGAAAACTTTCACCGTCACAGATACAAAACAAAAACTTTCGGTGATGAAAATAAAAACTGTCAACTTGGATGATTCGATCTCTTGACAATAAGAATTTTGGTGGTGGCTGCCACAACCTGGCCAGTACGACGCCACAACCTGGCCAGTACGACTGTGTGTTGCTACAACCTGGCCAGTACGACTGTGTGCTACTGTCTCCCAGACTGTTGTTATGTACTGTGATGTATCAATGTACCACTAAATGCATACTGCAACACTGAATGTTGTAGTGCACTATGTTGCAAAGATATATGCCACAAAACCAGGAAGTACTGCTATTATGTATTTTTCACCACCATCGTTGTGTTGTGATGTGTATAAAGTCTGTCTGATACACCAAAGTTAATAACACTGTATATAACATGTTTGGTAAATATCTGATTAAAGACTTATTAAAAGGATTCTTGTCTTAGGATTCTGTTGCTAGGATGCAAGTGTGTAAGTCTGGACGCTACTGGAAGGACACTACTGGAAGGATTGTTACCAGAAGACTGTTTTAGAAGATCTCTGGTGGGTTTATGCTGGAAATAGGTGTGGCAGGACTCTGTTGGTTAAAGATTTTAGGTAGCGGTTCGTTTGGGTTCTTAAGATGAATCAAGTCAGCTGGTATTATACGTCTGTGTGATGGTGGTGTCTCCACCCAGATTATCCTTTCAGTGACTTTTTTTTAAGTTTCTTCCCGAGGGAAGGAGAAATTTTTTCTTTTTGTCACATCACAGATTAATCGGTGCAGATGTTTCCTCTAGAAATTAATGGGTTGATGATTTATATGAGCTAAAACAGTAGAGGGTGACCATTGCATTCCATAACTGTGTTCTCTTTCTTCCTCAGAAACACAGTACTCGATGAAAAGAAACCTCACAAACTTCAAATACAAGATATACATTCCAAGAAGTAAGGGATGGCACCAAGCCCAGGAGCTTGACACCAACTGCTAATAAAATGGTGACCAATAGAAAATTCGGTGTGCTGGACAAACTAGAGTTGGAAAAAATATTATATACTTTAAAACTAGGAAACACAGAACTATATGTGTCTCATGGATCTTCTACATTGTGATAACGTCTCCTCGCAGCTCATAACTCTTAACTCTGGAACAAGCACAGCACTTTCTCTGAACATTCTCTAATACGTTAACATGTTCGTAGAGGTTCGGGTTATATGCTGGTGCTGCATACTCCATAATAGACAACACATCTATTACATTGCCCGGAATAATTCGATCGAGATTCTGGAAGGTTGATCAATCTGTGTCTTTCACTCTGAGGTTTGTGGCTGTGTCCCTGAAGTCTGTGTTCTGAGTCCGCTAATCTTGCCTCTTCTTTAATTTTCTTAACGTCACCCTTTCAAGGAAACCAGTCCAGGGCGATGGAATATGACAGGGAAAGCCGTCCACGGCGATGGAATATGACAGGGAAGCCCGAACAGGGCGATGGAATATGAGAAGGAAAAGAGTTCAGGGAGATGGAATATGAAAAGGGAAAATGATCAGAGAGA